CATCTATCTATTTGAGTACTGAGGATTGAGGAACATCCTCAGGTAAAAGCACAAATTATTAATTATTTCTTCCATATTGAAAGTGATGGAGTAGATTGCAATTTACAGTGACGATAAGAACTTACTGCAAAACCTCAATAAACCACATTCATGCATGTTGTTCCCAATGCACGTGACTCGTTAAATTCATCAATCTATCAAGTAAATAAAATAAATGATTAATTAATGAATGTAGAGAAATACTGAGTTTCTTATCTGATGAAATTAATAGCTTAATAAATTGATTGAATGAATGCATTCATGCATGCATGCATATACGTCTTAATTCCTATAAAAAAAAATTTTAATTAAATAAATATAAATATCATTATTTTTCCAGACCAGAAAATTCAAATATGCATTACTCAAGACGAGAAATAAAAACATATGAAATAGGAAATTTGAAGATAGAAAATTATTAGAATTAGCCATTTAAATACAAACTATCGTAGAAAACCCCATAAAAGCATTGAAAAGAAAACAAATAGCCAACACTATAAATTTGAATTTATACAGCAGTCTCTGTTTAGATAAGTATATACAAGAAGGCATAAATTTAATAAATATTATTAGAAAGAGATTATAAATTTATTCCCATAAATGGCGCTTTGTATTTTTAAGTAAGTATGTACATGAATATCCCTAATTTTTCTCTTTCCATCATTGATGCCTTATTGGGTATATCTAAAAGCATTTTAAAAAGTATTCATAAACCATTTAAATTATAAATAAATGAATTAAAATTGGTTAATATATATTAGATGGGGGAAGAAGGACAGAAACGTAAATAGATTATAATTCTAAGAGTCTATATCAATGATCTTATTCTTACATGAAAATTCCTGGATTCCACTACTTTGTGTGATCGGAGAAATATCCCACCAAGAACTTTCCTATGTAAGTATGTGCCCGCACTGAGTCAATGCATGATTCCTTATACAGTGAAAGGCGATCAAGTCTAATGGTTTCACACTTTCACTTTTCCTAAAAAGAAGGAAAATAAAGTCTAGATAGAGAAAATTAAAATATCAATATAGATAATGGTCCAGGCTAATTGAAATAAGTGGACCCTTAAATTATATTATTGACAAGAATCAAGATTCTCAACTTCGATTAGACCAATTATAAAATAAATAAATCTTGCTCAAGATCTAAAATCTTGACCCTTGGTCAAGTTATTCTATTTGCCGTATGTTGGGTCGAGATTTAAAATAAAAATGCACGTATCTAATTTAGAAGAAGGAAAAAATATGTTAATGTTCGACCTCTTATCTTAAAAGAGGTTGAAGTACTATTAAGCTCGAAACCTCAGAATATGAGACCAGATCGGACAATGGCCACCGTAATTGAAAGAAACATTATGATTCACAATTATTGACAAACTGCTCCCACCTAACTATCAAACACTTCCAAAAAAGATAGGTGAGAATTGTGACGTTTGAATCTTATTTTTAACCAATCACAAGCTGTTAATGATTACCTAATGTCTGGTTATCATTGTCTACCATTATTATATTACCGATAAGCCAAAACCTCTAACTATGAGACCAAATTGGACAATGGCCACCGTAATTGAAAGAAACATTATTGTTCACGATTGTTGACAAACTGCTCCACCTAACTATCAAACACTCTCAATGTGATTGGTGACAATGGTGACGTTAGCATCTTATTTTTAACCAATCACAAGTTATTAATGATTACCTAATGTCTGGTTATTATTGTCTGGTGCCACAACTACAACCTAAGGGCTATGATGACTACATGCGGATATGGTGGTGGGCCATGTGATCCACCAAAATATTGGTTTTCTAATTTTTGATTTTTATTTCTTGAAAAAATAACATAAAAAGATAAAATTTTATATATTTGACCATTGCCTTCCAAGTCCAGTTTTGGGAATCAAACACCGGCGATTGACTCTAATTTGTCACTTATTGTTAGTGGCAATGGTGGGGTTCTACTATTGTTAAAGAATCTTTAGAAAAACTTAATGTTTTTGTTCATCCGACTAATGAAGAGGTAATTTGAATTATAGAAGTTTGGATTTGCTTGTATTTTAATTTTTGTTTAAAATTTTGTTTGGATGTTGTAGCTTCAACTTGTAGAGGACGAGAGCTATTCATTGTTGGTGGCCAAACAAGACGAGCATTCCATTATAAGGGGGATTTCAATTGAGGTACAATAGGAAAAACAAATTAATAGTTTGGAGGAACAAAAAAGGGTAAGAGTATTGTTAGACTCTGATATTGGACATTATTTCTTATTTGGTGCAGAGAATCTTTGAATAATTTTTACTTTCTTTGTTGTTGTCGAGTCTTTCTCATTTTCGAAGCAAGCTTTTTAATTTTTATAGATCAATTAGCTTTAACAGCATATGATTTGTTGGAAAAAATGAGTAAACGACTCACTTTTGTCACAATTTTCGATGGGAACTGTTGGTCTAATTTCAAAGATCAAAGTTGATCCGTGTTCTCCTCCGTGAGAGCATCAAAATCATATATTTACTTGCCAGAATTGATAAATGGATGAATGAGAAATTGGAGTTTAAAGTTGACCATTGGAAGATGGTTTATGTGGATAAATTAGATTTGTCCTACGTAGGAAAAAGAAGAAAGCATGAACCCCTTTATATATGGCTACACTTTGGAAGGATGTAATCATGTGTAGCATAGAGACTCTTTTCACGTGGAGTATCCGCATTTTGCAATTTTTTTTTTTTTTTTTTTGTTTTCTCCAACTGACTTTTGAGTATCTGAAACTACTAAAATTCCAACAGAAATTGAAGTGATTTCAATGTTTATTGCCATAGAGCTAATGACAGATTTATCTTATATTAAGTCTCAATTTCCAGCAATTTGCTCACATGCACCAGAAAATACATGAAAATACATAGTCTGCATATTATTGTACATAATCTCGAGTTCTTTCAGCGTCGTCTTGGTGATGATATTGTTCGGATACTAATCAGTTCGTCGGAGTAGTATCTACGGTGCTCAGATCCTACTAGTTTTACCGTTGTATCTTGGGAAACAGAACCAATGGTGAGGGGACGAATTTGTTATAAGGAAACTGTGCTCACACAGGTCTCAGGTTGAAATGAACATCTGTTATTTATTTAATTCCTGTGATTTTATATATTTCTGTAATTTATTCGAGTGCTTTATATAATTTGTAGTTTTATTATTTTGTCGTTCTATTTATGTTTATTAAAAATTAATTTGCGTTATTTGGCCAACTAGACTAATTTGATCAAATTAATTTGTTTATTCTATTGCAATTTAAATCTACTATATTTTTATCTTGTTCATTGCATATACGGTATATGCAAAATTGGTATATGCAAATACGGTAATTTGTTGCATATACGATATGCTGTGCAAATATGGTCAACTGTTGCATATGCGGTATACTATGCAAATAAGGTATGCTGTTGCATATACAGTAAATTGTTGCAAATATGATATGCTGCTTGTAAATACAGTATATTGTATATAGGGTATGTTGCATATACGGTATCCATAAATTCAATGTGTAAATTGCATATATGGTATGAATGAATTTGATTTCATCCACTCTAATAAATTCCAACATGAATTGATTTGGAGCTCTCGTAGTTTGACAGACACTATGTTAAAACATGGTTGGGAATGGGTAAATATGGATAAAACCTTTATGGGACTAAAAAAATTGCACCTAGTGAATGAGCATAGAAACAAGTAAGGTTATTGTTGTTTCTCGAGAAGATGGAATGACATTCTCCTTGGCTATCCATTCTTTTATCCATATCTGGAGAACACATCCAATCTCATGTTAGTTACTATTAGATAACCAATAGGCCGATGGCAATAACTTATAGTTTTGAATTTTTATTTTCTTTGACCAAAATTCAAATTGATGGGAAAATGAATTTGTATCACATTTATAGTTTATTTTCATTATGTTCGATTTATGTCCACGAATGATTTTTGAAGTTCATATACTGAATTGTGTCAAATTGATTTGGAATGGATTTGAAATGAAATATGTTGCAAGAAATGACTTTTGAATTGTGAACTAGATAGGGCCTGCCTAGCCCAACAAAGAGAAAAGGCCTGGCCCTTTAAGTTGATTACGAATCAATTAATATCGTATTATTTATGGTTATCCAAACTAGACATTAATTCGACAAAGTTAATAAATCACTGGTCCAATTGAAGTATTGATATTTATACACAAATAATCAAATATTATTGAATTATTAATTAAAGTTGTTGGAAATAAAATAAAAGGTTTGAACGAACCACAGAAAGAACTAATTTTTTCATTTGTTAAAAGTCATATATTATGAATTAAGACATACATATTTTTAAAATAATGCATAAGTCGTTCGAATAGAAATTGATATTATATTTGCTATGTTCCACAATTCTTCACAATTATTGAGGAAGAAACTCGAACCCAAATATTTTGTTCGGCTCCAACAGCAAATTAAGCCCCTGTTTGGTCCCCATTAAATTAAAATTTATTTCTCTCTCTCTTCTTATCAATCACGCATTGTCCAATAAAAACAATATTACACTTAAATCTATAAACTTTTTCTTCATTTTTAATCATACACTTTTCATATCATTATAATTTGAAATAATGGAGCTAAATGAGCAGAAAATTTTCGATGCAAGTCTACATTAAGATGAATATTAATACAACAAAATAACTGCCAACTAATATAATACAGTTGGCATAAACTTAATTGCAGCTTCTAAGTTACTAGTTCCACCTACCCAAGATGTTTAGGTCCCGTTTCAAATGGTATATGAAACGTCAAAAGTTGAATTGGATGGCGTATTGCCAATTTGTTTTTATCTTGGGTAATTTTTATGTACTGTTCAATTCAAACATATATCAAAACCAAATTTCAACACATTTAAGTTATCTAACACATTAATACCAAATTTCAAACCAACCATTGAAACATGCAATGAATTAAAACCTAAAACTTTATGACTAAAACATCAACACACAGTTCCATATTTATTAAAATACAAACAACAATCTCATCCAATAACTACAATTCTAAAGATATAGTTTTTCAACACAAAGATCCAGCACAAAGTGTCTCCACTATTTTGCCCATTTTCATATCCATCAGCTTTGATCACTTTAGCTTGGGGAGTTTTGAGGACGGTAATGACGAAAACGCATTTCTTAGCGCTTTCCATTCTACATAAACATATACAAAACGGAATCTAGTTATAGAAAAAAATGAAATTTCTAGACAGATTTGTGCTCGTAACAAAAAACAAATGCACATTTCTAGACGGACTAGGTCAAATAAGAATGATTCACTTTGCATCTAGACAAAGACAAAATAATAAAAGAGTTCAAAGGAGACAATTTTTCTGAACTTTATGACAACACCATCCATATATACAAATCGAAACCTAGTTATAGAAAAATGACACATCTACATTTTTACTTTATAAGCCTATATTTGGCTCATATTTATAAACTTTTATAAAAACACTCAAGTCATTTTTTTTTTCAACACATTTAAAAGATCCACAAATACTACCACTTATCCACCATTCATTTATATCTATTTATAATTAAAATCGGCTATAAACACTTTCCAAACGTGATTTAAATTTTCATCTTCTGGAGGTGGAATAGAACTAACAAAGCAAATTCAACAATTTTTGAAAATATTAAACCATACTAAAGACTGAAATGCAGTCACAATTTTTGGGAGATTAGCAGTAATGGTTGAAATTTAGGTCGAAGAATTTTTTGACCAATTATGTTAGTTAAGGGTTTTTAAGACCATTTTAACCATTTTAGAAAGTACATCAGAGGCCTTTTAAACTTAAAACAAGAACCTTTTTTCAACTCAAAACGTTGTTATTTAGACTCCGGTGCCCCAAACTTTATTATATATATATATATATAGACACACACACACACACACAGACGCTTTTGATAAAAAATCGATGAAACTTCAAAGAAAAATCAGTTGTTTGCTGAAGCCATACCTGTTTATATAACATAAATGTGGGGAATGTGAGATATCTTGTCCCATTCGTCTCCAGTCCTGTCCCCGTAAAGTGAAGCTAGACAAGAGGAGTCCTCGACAGTCAAATACTCCAGAGACGATAGGAGGTAATGTGGCAATGCCTTTAACCTGTTGCAACCAATGATTTCTAACTCCCTGAGACATGGCATTATTAAGAGATGGTCTTTTTCATCCCCAGTTATATCCTCCCACTTTTCCCAGCTGACACAATACTCAATACCCAATATCCTCAACTTCGGGAATGCAGGTCCCGCATTCGGTGGTTCCTGGATAGTCTCCATTATCCCCAAGAATTCATTGCCCACATATTTCAGGCCATCCATGAATGATATCCGAAGCTCCTCAAGCATCGGCAGTTTTCCCAAAGGGGGCAAAGATGAGCAGTTATTAAAAAATGAGAAACTAAGCACCCTTAGATAGTTAAGGGACGTGGTGATCCATTCTGGAAGTTGGGTTCCATCGTTTCCAGACAATCGTAAACTTTGCAGTTTTGGAGGTGGTTGAAGAGCTTCCAATACGTCTGCCCTCACCTTCCCATTAAAAATGATGTTCAATTCTCGAATGTATATCTTATTTTTAAATTCTGCTTTCTCAGCGTCAACCAAGTCTTCTAACTCAGTCAAGTCATCCAGAATAAGTTGTAGATATCCTCGAAGTTCGTTTAGTTTTCTCAAATATCCTAACTTACTTGATCCTCTTCCTGCTTTGAAACAACTCAAAATCCAAAGACCGGTTAATCTCTCTAGTCCTTGAGGAATTGAATTCATACTCCAACCTTCAAAGAGAAGGTGTCGTAGATTTATTAATTTATAGATCCCTTGAGGGAGTGCGGAGAGATCGTCACAGCTTCGGAGATCCAAAGTTTGCAAATTATACAAATCACACAAGGTTTCTGGGAGTCCTCTTATAGGATTGGAGCTCAAGTCAAGATACCTCAAGTGAATTAATTTTCCTATCTCTTGTGGAAGTTCTTCCAAACCACAATCGCTCGCAATAAGTACCCGTACACATTTTAAACAACTAAAGGGATTTAAAGGGAGACTTTCTTGAGAAACATTTCTAGCACAAAAGGTGCGAACTTTTCCGATATCACAATTCATAATCTCTACTCCACCATATAAGATTAAGCAGTGATCATCTTCTGAGAGATACGTGACGAAGTCATGCATAATATCATGCATTTTGCAAGAGATTTTACTTTCATCATATTTATCCTTCTCCAACTCTTGAAAGAAAGACCGCATTGCTAGGTTCTCAAATAACTCTAGCCCCATCCCTTGCATGCTATCTACATTTCCACTCGAACCAAGATAACCATGTGCCATCCAGAGCATGATAAGATCATCCAAATGTATCAAGGTATCTTTTAGATAGATGATGCAACTAGAGAAGCAGCACTTAAGTTCTGGAGACAAATCATTGTAACTCAAATACAAATGGGGGAAAAGCTTCTCTTCTGCTACCTTCAACTGCCACAAAGGACTCTCCAGAACATTTCGCCACTGTCTTACGGTATCTTTCAGGCGTAGCAGGCTTCCCATAATTTTTGCAGCAAGTGGCAACCCCTTGCACTTTGTCGAAATCTCTCTACCAATACCTTCTAATTTCTCGCACTCCTCCTCACTTCTTCCGGAGAAAGCTATCCCGCTCAATAGTGACCAGCAGTCATCAGGGGATAGTAGGCCCACTGATTGCCGTCTGTTCGTGCCTATCACTCTAACAACCTCATCGCTCCTTGTTGTCGCCAAAATTCTACTTCCGGGGGCACCCTGGAGAGAGTTTTTCAGGGGTTCCCACTTCATGTCGTCCACATTCCACATATCATCTAGGACAATAAGAAATCTTTTCTTTGAAATTGAGTTTTCCACTCGTTCTAATACCATTTGCAAGATCGAGATGTTGGAGGAACTCTTGTCGGAGGAATTCTTTTCAATGGCCTCAAGAACTGATTTTGCAATCTCAATCGGGTTAAAAGGATCCGAAACACAAATCCATATTTTTAATTCAAAATGTTGCTTAACTTCAGGATCATTAAAGGCTAATTGAGCAAGAGTTGTCTTCCCAACCCCTCCAGTCCCTACTAACGAAACAATCTCGACTCCAATGCCCCCCTCAGACAACAATTTTTGTATCAAGTGTTCCTTATCAATATTGCGACCATGTACATTTGCAGAATTAACAAAAGAAGTCGATTCAAATGGCTTAAATTCATGAAAATTGTGGCCACCACTAGGAAGAAAACCAAACTCATCTTTCTTTTGATCAATCGAATCTAGTTTCTCTATCAACCCCTTTATCTTCAGATTAGTTTCACGACGCCCAACTACATTTTTGAAGCATAAGCAAAGAGATTGAATAAACGAAAGTACCTTCTCCCGAGGATCAGAAACTTCCTCAGATCCTTCAATATGCAGTTGAAGATTCGCAGTTTGCCATTCATCCAATGCGTCATCCATTTCATAGGATACATCTTGCAGTTCTTTTAGCCAAAATTTGACCTTTGAATCAGTCACTCCAGTTCTCTCTGCATCCTTCAGCACTTCCTGGATCTTCTTCAACTTCCCAGTGAGATTTTCCACTTCCTTTTTGGATTCGAGGAGCAGATTTACCTCCTTCTCGATCAGAGGAGCCAATCGCTCCACCAGTGCGAAAACAGCCATCGCCGAATTAGATTGAACTAGCACAAATCAAAAAACTTTTAGAGGGAACTGACTCAGGTTACTTCCTCTAAAAGCTCGTGTACAAAACAACTCTTTTAGAATTTAGTTTCAAACAGGTAGCTGTTAGGT